AAATATTACAATATTAAAGAACTGTTCTTGTTAATTGAAAACAAGAAAACATTTTAAATTTCCAGTGCACTCACATCAGAATAACTTATATAGATTTGTTGTTAGAATAATCGATTAATCGAAAAAATAATCATTAGATTAATCGATTAGAAAATAATCGTTTGGTACAGCACTAGCTGGCTTAAGAACAGTCCAACCTTTAACCCCGTAACAGTGGTTTTTGTTATGGGGTTGAATGTTATGGGGTTGAAGATTTCATCTAAATGCAGCCGTAAGTCAAAATATGAAAATTGTGTTTTCAGTACCACAAACCCATCATCATGCCTTKTTTAGTTTTGTGTGAATGTAAATCCTCTTTTTATTTATTGTCTTGCAGTGTCATCTAATCGATACGACAACACTGCTGGAGGAGCCATAGAGGTGATAAGCCCTGCCAGTTCTCCTGTCCAGCCTCAGCAAGACAAACCAGAGGACATCCAACAACAAGCAGCAGGTATGAAGACGGATAACTGAAGAAAATTACTCTTAAGGCTGATTTGTTACAGTAGTGATGTACATGTGGCAGTGAAGGCTTAGTTTAGAGTGCATACCATGACTTGGATGACTTGACCCACTGACACTTGAGGCCATCAGCCAGCGTTTCAGTTATTCTTATCACCTGATGTAGACCAGATGCTTTTGGCACGGAGTCTGTTGGCTCATTGCTGTCTCATCACTTCTAATTTCACCCTGACTATTTTAATGAAACCAAGCTGTCCTCGGTCGACCTTACAGTTGGCATGCGGCCGTTTGAGATGAGTCGTTACCAGCCGCAAGGGGAGCCGCCCCCACCGCCTTCCTCCCAGGCAGACAGCTACTCACAGGTCCCCAAAACTCACAGAGTCATGACCTTGGCGGACCACATTTCGGTGAGAAAYACTGTTTACCATTTTGGAGCAGAAGAAGTAATGCAGCATCAGTCAGAATCATGACGTGTTCTGGTCTGTCACTAATCTTTGTTGGGGGTTTGTCTTTAATTCAAATGCAGCATATAATAACCCAGGACTTTGCCCGAAATCAGGACCCTCCAGTCTCCTCCTCAGCACCTTCCTCGTTCCAGAGCTCCCTGCCACCGGTGTCTTCGTCAGGTCGAGTCAAAGCACCCAATCGTTACAGTCCCGAGAACCAGGTCCAAAACCCGCATCATCAGAGACCCTCCAGCAGGGTTTCTCCAGAGAATGCCTCTGACAAGCCCAGAGTCCGGTAAACAAGCAGAATCCTTACGGAATCGTCATTTTAAACCTGCCGCTCATCTAAAACCCGTGCCTCATTCATTACTCCTAGACCTGGTAAGTCTCCAGAGCGAGGGGGCAGGCAGATGGAGAACTACGAGCCCATCTCTCCTCCACAAGGCTATCAGGGCATGGACAAACAAGAACCAGGGGGGGCTCCATCCCAGAGACGAGAGGCTGAGAACTCTGAGATGAGGTAGGACGTCTTCACTGTTGACGGTCTGGCAAACTTGTACCTCTTAATTCTGTATTGAGAATCAGTTTTGAAGCATTTATTAAACAATGTTAACATTTGACACAGCAGTTCCTTGTTTAGATTCTTGCAGTTGGATTGTTCTCTGCATCGGTTTGATATCCTGTCAAAAGTTTGTGGTCCTGAAAAGGTTTGCTCTGTCTCTGTCCTTTGTTTGGTTCAAGGAGTGACTCGCGATCCCCAGGGAGCGTCAGCTACCTGCCTTCCTTCTTTACCAAGTTGGAAAACACCTCACCGATGGTGCAATCCAAGAAGCAGGAAATCTTTCGTAAGTTGAACTCCACCTCTGGTGTTGGTGATTCTGATGTTGGTAAGTGGGTCTTCTCTTATCCTTTTGAGTTTCATTCATGAATTCTCACTAATTCTTCTCACTCAATAAGCATGTAATAACACTGGAACAGCATGGCTTCTTAACTCTTCAACAACTTGAGTTCTTGCCATGTATTTTTGTTTTGTTTTTCAAAAATTAATAATTAATTTTGCAGGAAATGCACAGCCTGGGACTGAAATTTTCAACTTGCCTGCCGTTACAACCTCCAGTAAGTAGAAGTGACTCCAGGTCAGACATTTTAGTTTCATTCAAGATTAGATTTCCTCTCTCATTGTCCGTTTGCCGGGTTGTGTTTTGTAGGCAGCATCAACACCAGAAATCAGTCCTTCAGCGACCCGACGAGTAACCTGGGTTTGGAGGACATCATCCGCAAAGCTTTAATGGGCAACTTGGAGGACAGACATGAGGAGCACCAGGGTGGAGGGACTGTTGCCATGAATAACACATCAGGCACAGGCAGTGATAMCCGGCAGGAGGCCACCTCATCGCCTATTATGGGTTTGTAGTTTCTACAATGTGTAAATGCTGAATTTTAAGTAAAATTTTAAGATGTAGTGATTTTTTCTTTATAATCTAAATTAAGGATGCAAGTTATCGATTAATGGATTAATCTAAAGTTGACATTTGAATCAAGGGTGTTTCTATGACATGAAGGGCTTATTTTTACTCTTAAAAAAAGCACAATATTATATTTTATAAAATGTTTTGTGCCAGCTGTATTAAACACTGCCTGAATAAACAGAAATTGTGGATTTCTCACACATTATTAAACTTGGACATATTTATAAAATATAACAAAACAGGAATCTATTAGGTTGCTAGTTGGAAATAAAATGAAAGAAAGAAAAAAGTAAAAACGTTTAATCCACCCTGAACGGACAAATGTAAAACTAACATTTAAACACAGGGTAACATTTACTCAAAAACAAAACTATAAACATGACCTGAGGGGTGAACATACAAATGAGTACTGGAACTGTTTGTTTACATTCCCTGTGGTTCATGCTGCTGCATGATTTGACATCAGTTTCTTGGATTTGTTCACTGGCCGGGTTACGTCACACAGATGAGATTAACTTCACGTTAATTATTTGTAGTGATGAACTGTTTTTGTTTTGTTTTTTCACACAGAGTTAAATTCTACAAGAAGCTAACGTTAAGCTAAAGTTAGCTTATCCTTCTCTGTCGTCCTGCTCTCTTGTCTTTAGCGTCATACTTCGGTACTTTTCCTTCAAGTTTGGTGTAGTCCATTATTATTGTTGTGTCGCAAATAAAACTAAACACTCTGCGTGTTTAATTATGGAGGCGGCCGGCTCTCTGCTCAGCTCAACAGGGTCTGGTAGAGCAGGCCAGGCTGAGAGCAGCGGTGCCCTCTACTGGATGAAGTCAAAACTACACTGAAATAAGGTTTAAACTGATGTTTTCAATTAATCGAACGGAAGAAGTTTTAATCCAATAAACCATTATTTGACAATTATTCGTAAGTTGATTAATTGTTTGCATCCCTAATCTAAATGTTCTTCTCTTTTGATGTTCACAATAAATGAAACTATTTTAGCCTTGCAGGCTAGCCTCACGTTTGACTGCTGTTGAAACATCCAGAAATTACGACACTTAGCACCAAGCACAAAGTTAATATAAACAAATAACTTTTGTTGGGACATAATAATTGGAGGTAATTGTAAACAGTGAATAAGATAAAAACAGAGGCGCAAGCTAATCCCCAGGTGAGGCGCATAAAACAAAATTCATTCACCTCAAAAAGTAGTTCCTCCTAATAAACAACGTAAAATGCTTATTGCCTCCGCCTGACATGTATTGTTTAGTTCTGTATTTTTTAGCTGTTTTGACAATTTGAAATGTTTTTTAGGGATTTATTCTCGGTTTTTAATGTATTTACAGTCTTGACACCCTGCGTTTCTGTCATGTTAATATATACTCCCCCTGCTGGCAATAACTGGCACTATCAGCTCCTCTGAATAGAGTCTCATTGGGGCAGTAAATATTTCACCCTACAGAAATCACTTATCACTTTAGCTAACTCATGGTAACCTTAGACCATTACTTCAGTTATTTTAAGCTAGCGATTAGCCTTTCTCTATATCTAACTCAGGTTAACATTATGCTACATTCACACCGAACATGTTTTCTGCATCAAAAACGCTTCCAACGCTTCAAGTTGATGCTTGTGGACTTTGAGGTCAGAAGCTCATTTGTGTCGTGGTTGTTTTCCTCTGCTGGTCTCGGTACATTGGTGGATGAAATTAAGTGGAAATGGAAATAAAACATTGGAAATTGGGAGAAAAATAAATGGAATTAGGTAAAAGGTAGAACAGAATTCACCTTACATACGCCACGAATAAAAAGACCGCCAACATAGATGTTCTGAACAAGTGATTCACACAGACTGCCTGTTTGAATCTGCAGGAAAACAAAAACAGGGCAGAGCAACCAGCCGGAAATCCAAGTCCCCTAACCTGGGTCAGGCCTACGCTGGAGGGGAGCGTCCTTCATCAGTGTCCTCTGTCCACTCTGAGGGCGATTATCACCGACCAACTCAACCCCAATGGAGCTGGGACGACCGACCCTCGTCCACAGGTGTTTATCATTTTTCTTTCCCCAGGGCTGTACGGTGTGACAGCTGGTACGTGCAGTGAACACAGCAGTGCCATAATTTAATTTTTTTTTCATGTAGCACTGGTGAGACATGCGACAAAGCCACGGCACGTCCCTACGCTACATAGTGGTGTCTATTGTGATAATCAGTGTTACCTTATCTATGGCATTTGGCAATTCACGGAAAAAAACGTGGGAAGTAGAACTCAGCGCAGTAATGATTGAAAACTAAGCTAAAATATAAAATATGTCTAGTCATAAACTAATTTCAGATATCTTGATATAAGTGTGCTGAAGCTGATTAAATGTTAAAACGACCTGCCATACATTTGAGCTTCCATTATGCCGCTGAAAATGATCTGCTGCACTTCCAGAGGAGCTGATTGCAAAATGAGCAGGATGGACAGAGGAGCAGGCGAACGCTCACATCTTTTTTTTATCTCTGCAGTTAACAAGAAAAGTAAAACAAGTTTTTCTGACTTGGTGTAAACTAGGGMTGGATATCGATTCAGATTTCCCAAATAAGTTCAGTTTTTTTTTATTTTTAAATTAGTTAAAGATACTGTGCAGTAACACATTTATTTTGATATAGAAGACATTCTCAAATGAACTAATTCTGCAAATAGAAACTAATTCTAACGTGTTGCATTGGTAAAATTATAAACATTAAGGGCAAACTTGTAAATTGGAGAAACTAAGAATAATTTTCTTGATCATTAAGAAGTGATGGAATAAGGTTACAGGATAAGAGGTGGGCTAATATAATTGTATACTTCCCCCCCACTCTTTTGAGTGTGTGAAATTTGTATATTTGTAATGTTTCTGTTAGCTTCTGTTCAATAAAACTTAACAAGAAGAAAAAAAAAAGAATACTTCAGCCAAAACATACCATCACTGTGAATTATAAGAAGATGTTTCTTAAATTTAAAAATAATATTGGTAACAAAACTGAATGCTTTTGTTAGACTGTCATCTTTCACATATTTAAACATGCCRAGGAGAAAGTTTGTCAGATGTTTACATACAGTTGTTTTGGTTCGAGCCGCTCGAAGCTTCGTTTCCTTCTACCTCGTCCGAGCGCMAATCTTTGCAAACAAAAGTTGTCATGGCCTCTGTTATCTTTAGTTTCTGCTGAGAATCAGCTGTAATGTTAGCGATTCGTTRTYGTCGGGAGCTAACATTAGCACTGACCGTCAACCGGATGTAAACCTACGGCAAGCCAGGAGTGACACACAACATGGAAACGCGCAGCTTCATCGCACACAACACCCATGGAGAAAAATCGATCTCATGACTTATGAATCGATTTTCTAAATTTGAACGAAAATCGATCCAAATCGATTAAATTGATTTTTTTTTAACCTAGCCCTAATGTGAAGGTGTAATCCAACTCTGGTCTGTCTGAAAACCTAGGTCTCAGTTCGATTGAAGTGAGCTCTGGTGCGGTTCCATTGATAATTAGGTGTTCTACCTGCATAGATTGTGTTGATGAAAGAGGCYTGAAAACGCCATCTTTTCAATTTCAGCTGGCTTGAATGCTCTGTATATACCGTATTTATTTAGTTTTACAAAAYCASTAACCTCTGTAGCACCTAAAAAAGTTGATCTTTCTTCCCTGTTATTTTTTTTCTAAGGTCCCATACAGTTTCCCTACAACCCGCTGACCATGCGTATGATGAGCACCGCTCCACCCACCTCCATAGCCTCGCCGTCTATACAGAGCCAGCAGCAGCCGCCGCCTCCAACTGGAGCTCCTGTGGCCCAGCAGCGGGTGTGGCAGTCCCTGCTGTCAGAACAATACGAGACCCTGTCCGACAGCGACGACTGAGCTCCGCTACCTACAGCCATCAGGTCCCAGGAGAGAGGCCGGCCACGCTGAGGCTGGCCTGTCCACACCCCCCCTCTGCTACAACTCACCTCACTCTTTGGCAAAGTGGAACACGTGGATGGGGGTGGTGGGGTTTTCTTTTTCTTTTTGGTGCTACAGTGCCCCCACCCTGACTGGCACGGCTCTCCAGACTTTATTTTTGCTTCGGGGGCTCTCGCCCCCCAGCCTGTCAGAGAACTTTACATCATCTGACCGGATGACATCGGCTACAGTCAAGCTGACGAACTGAACCTGTAAAAACAAAAACAAACAACATAAGAAGCTATTTCTGAATTTTATGTCTGATTTCTGTAAAGGTTGACCTTGTCTTTAGGAAAATCATTGTATGTAAATAGAGTAACCTTTTTGCAGTGTTTTTCTTAACTTGATTATTTCTTATTTTAATGTCGCTTTTAAATCGATCCACTTTAAATGAGAAGAGCGGAGGTGTAATCTATAATACTGCAGGTGTCCCCCCCCCGCCCCCAAACCAAACCACCCACTCAAACATTTGTTTTTGTTTATTTTATTCACGCCACAGAGACCGGACCCTGTGGTTTGTACTTGACCCTTAGCGGATCTCAAACTATGCCACGCTGCCCGTCATCCACCAAGCCCCACCAGGGCCGAACGCTGTGGACGCCGAGAGGGCAAAAAAAACAAACTGTAACGAACATCGATGTCTGACGATGAACAGATTGTAACTAACGGACGGTAGAGACAACTTCTCACCCTATTTGTCGTCGCAGCAAGTTGAGAACACTGGTGTCATAGCAGAAAGGTGAAGAGTCTGAAATAAGCTTTCCAGAAAATGATATCGTTGTGACTACTTCTGGACCCTGCCTGATTAATGAAAGTGAGCCAATGAAATGATTTTATTTTATTTTTTTCCTCTATTTTTCATTTAAGAGAGTGTCACATCTCAGTAGTTTCACTTTCCAAGATGTCCAGAATAACTAGGTCGGGACATTTTGTTTTTGTTTTCCTTAGGAGGGATGCTTTTGCCTTGTGATTTGAGAGAGAAGGCAGCTTTAACACATTTTCTCAGAGATATATGTTGTTCGTATCTGTAGTTCCTCACTTTTTGTTTACTGTCCTGACAAAAAAAAAAAAAAACCCATCCTGTTATGCTTTCTTTTCTTCCCATGACACAATAAGATGAAACTAACCAAACCGAAAGAATGGTCTGCACCATTGTTGCACTTTTGATTGTTTTTATTTTTCATTTTTTTGTGGCTTTTCGACAAGAGAAAGCATCCTACCTGCTGTGTAACTTATTCAACCTCCAGCCCAGGACTATACGAAGATATGCTTTTATTTTTCCCACCTCTCACATAAAGACAAAGAAAAAAAAATACTGTATGGTTTTTATCTTCCTGTCTTTTCTTACCGCTGGTACATTATATTTTTTATCGTCGACATGCATCAGAGTTACCGTTTTAAGTGCATGGTACCATTAAATGTTTAGGACTTTGGTGATTCAAGGCCTCGATCACGTAATCTCTGCTTTCAACGTGTCGGTCAGCGTATCGCTTTTTAATAGGTCAGCATCATAAACTGCATCAGCTTTGCTCTCAAAATCGTCTTTTCTTTCTGACATGTGACAAAAATACCATATTCTAACTTTGACAATGCTCAGTTAACAGGTTCTTTCTGCTCTAAACGTGCTTTTATCCTCGCTACGTTTTGATTTTGATTTGCATATTTTTGTCCTAGCACGTGCTCGGATTTAGACTTTGTCAGTTTTGTTCGCCCCGTTCCGACGGGATGTTGTGTTTACAGACATAACAAGAAAAAAAAAAACTTTTACAAACTTGAATCCTTAAGGAATCCGACATGAAGCAGAAAAAAGATCAATAAAATTGGAGCATTTTTTCAGCTCTTCACTAAACAAAATGTTGACTTTTATTTTTATTTTTAAAATTGAGACTTGAAACCCCTTGTATCCTATGATGTTGAAATGCAATGTTTGTATCGCACAATGTCTCTTAGTAGGCTATTACGAGAGTTCAGACCAATCAAATAAAGTGGATCAGTTATCCACCTCTGAAAAGTTTTAAGTGTAAAGGTGTTCTATTATTCACTCGTTGCATWTTCTTTTATTTTTTTTTGACTGCACACTCCTGATGCTTGGTCTCTGAGCTGTACTGCAACTATCCACTAGAACTTTTATTGGCAAATTGATGAATATTAAATGAGAAATATGTCATAATTTGCAATATAATAAATAGTATGTAATATAATTTGGCAGTCTGTTTATTATAATGTAATAAATAGACTAACTGCCTAAGTTAGTGTGCACTMTACTTGTCTGGCATCACATATTTTTTTAATGCACATTCTCACAGAAAAGGAAAAGTTGTATTTAGTGTTGAAACAATAAAGCTGTCCAGATGTCCACTTGTTACACCGGCACAACTAAAACACCTGGAAAACTAACACACCACACCGGCACAACTAAAACACCTTTTAAGGCATCAGGAAGCAGCTCAGGAAGTATTAGACCCTGTTTATTTTTGTTGGAAAGTGTTTGGCCCAAATACAGATTGGCTTATAGCTCATGTTAGATAAAGCTATTCAATCAGTTTCACTTCCTCTGTGTCTCATTTAAATGTTTGGGAGTTAATTCTGTGTACACAGCCCCCCCTGCTGGCAAACTTTCAGTATTGAAAGACATTTTCACGCAAACTATAACAAAATCATGGCCACATTTAGGAAACAAAAGATGCATAAATGTGCCAGAAACCCCTTACTTCTACACTTTTATAATGTCATGGGATTTGCAGCGATGTATAATAAGTACATTTACTTTKTTACAGGAGTTTATGTAAATCTTTTGAAGATCTGTGATTTTACCAAGTACTACGATGAGTCAGATTAATCATCCTGTTTTGCTACAAATTTAAATATGACCTGAACTCCATCATGCACTCTACAAATTGAAGTGTTGAGCTATGACAACTGGTTCTGCTAAATAGTTGAGCAAGGATTAAATTGCTTTACATTCACTGAAGCATATTTGCATTTTAACATTGTCTCTAATCCTGGCAATCTGAACCGTCCTGTCTTGAAGTGCTCACTCCAGAGTTTGAATGAGCAACAACAGAACTTCTCAAGTGGGAGGCCTATGTGAAGAAAAAACCCAGGAAGACACTAGATGGGGAACCAGTTTCTGCTGTTATCAGCTTGTTTTTTTTTTTTTTTTTTTTGATGATGTTATCAGCTTGTTGATTGCCAAATAACGTTGGCTACAATGATAAAATATTATAAATGTTAAATAACCAAAACCATTGTTCAGTCTTACTAATAAAAAAGGTAATCCCATGTGATCTGCTTTGAAAAACTGCAGATAAAGTCGTTTGCTCTGGTGCYGCCCAGATCAAAGGTTCTCAAACTGGGGTCCCAGGACCTCCAGGGGTCTGCAAGCCGTGTCTTGGRGGTCCTCAAAAAATTTCAATAAATTGTTAGTTTTTTATTTTAAAAAAATCCATGTGGAGAGTAATGCACTAGTAAAACAAACTAAACCAAACAAAACACTAYTGCCATGGCATTTAAGGGTTAAAATAACAGTAAATTATTTTTGCATTAACAGCATGGGGTTTATGAGGGGGTCCCCGGAATTTTTTCACCCTTGTAACAAGGATAAGATCCCCAGACCCAAAGTTTGAGAACCCCTGAGTGCGGAGAGACCCGTTCAATATGGCGGCGCCGCACGACGCGGTTCAGCCCACCATGAGGCGTCTATTTCCTGTGCATAGACATATGGGACTCGAGCACACCCGGAAGTCGCAGTTTAAAATGCKCTCTCTTCTTTTGCCAGCTGTGGCTGAGCAGCTTTTCCAAGACATCCAGAAAACATATCAAGAAACGTCTCAAAGTAAGACAAAGGTTAGCAGGGAAGATACATGAGGGAAAACACTGCTAGCATGTTTAATCAACTTAAAGTGGCTGTACTAGCAGCTAGCCAGCCACGAACAAAACTTACAATTATTTAAATTAGGCATTAAAACAGAGCATATAGTATTATAAAAATAATTAAAGGTAATAAATAAACAGACATTTATATAGTTTTCTCGTCGCTAAAATAATAATTGTGTTGATGTAATGTCAGAGTTTGTCTGTAGGTGGCGCTGTTGTATTAGAATAGATTCTCTTAAATTGTTCCCATTCAGACTTCTGTGTTCTACTGTAAAATACATGTTTACACAACTGAAAAAGAGGAGAACTTCAAATGTGTTATACTTGGAAAGGCTGTTTATATTCCCCTCTTAACTAAAACAGAAGAAGCTGCATTTATTTCTGTAAATAGAGATTTTTTAAAATGTATTTTATTAAATCACACTCATGCAGTAAAAAGTGCTTGCTGTGTTTTCACTGTCAAATAAGTAACAAACACATTCAAATAAAACTGGAACTTCTTTTTAAGTATTTTAAAAGAGAAATGGTTCTTAACATGTACATTTTATTTTAAACTAACATCCCAATCTCATTTATTTGTGCCAAATAATAACAATGCTTCATTTTTTCGGTTATTGTTACGAGATGGAAAATATCAGTAGGTAAACAGTTTAACATTTTTTTATTTAGCATGCCTCCATCTATTATTGCACATTTATTAAATTGAATAACTGTGACTTGCAGTTTTCTAATATCTAACAGAATATTTTTTATAGATTTAGCTTCAAAAATCAATGCAGTCAAGTTTTATCCAAACCACCTGAAAATGAATTGTTCAACTACAGTTTTAAATTTGTATTGGTAACCTGTTATTTATGTGTTTCCAGTTCCTGATGATCTGCTTATTGCGTAAGTAGATATTTTCTATACATTTTATATTTTTGCTTCTCTTTTCTTTGGAAGATGTTAGTTATGTTAAGCTGCCGACTCATCATATTTTCAGTAAACACTAGTCATGCAGAGTGACCTGAGGTGAAAGGTCTTGCACGCTGCTCAGTTTGAATTATTTGGAAGAGCAGGAACCACACTATGGAGAGAATGCTGAGACATTTTTAGTGTCTGGATTTGCCAAAAGTGACGCTGCGCTGAGACACAAAGTCATGATGCAGTTCTGTCTTACCAGAAACATTTCCTGGCTCAGAGAGTTGGGTTGTGGTCAGAGAAGGGCAGTTCACTAAGTCCATGTAATCACGTCCTGTTGGCTCATCAGAACGTCTCTGCTTTTAGACATCGTCTCACTTTGGTGGTCAAAAAATTATGTAGTTTCTTTTCCAAATGAGTTAAAACAAGAAAATCTTAGATTAGGAAATTTTACAGTCCCAATGACAGCAACCAAAAAAAAAAAGAGTCAGTTTTCTCCYAGTCACATGCTTGCTGCAATGTGATTTACGTACATGTTTGTATTTAAACTCTGGCTCTGAGCCTATTGTAATCAATCAGGAGTTTATCTGATGAGGAAAAACTAATTAAAATAATACRTTTTTAAAGGAGTGGATAATTTGCTACAGCTCTAGCTGTATTACTTATTGGCATCATGGCTTTCTTTGATACTTGTCCTTTTCTCCTCTTGTCCTACAGGTTGAAATTTGTCTTCGGCTCTTGTGCGCTACAGGCTTTGGACCTGGTTGACCAGCGCTCTGTCACGTGTCTGACCTCCCCCAGTGGACGCAAGGCTTTCCAGGTCTGTCAGCACCTTGCGATCAGCAGTCCTACCCACACAAATTATATTCTGTCTGTTAATGACTTAAATACATCTTTACAAAGTTCACTCATTTTGTGCAGGGTTATATGTAATACTTTTTGTTTGTAGGGACATTTAAGATGACAGCCAAGTGTAGAGAAACTGCAGTAAATAATAGAGGGTGAGGACTGTGAGAAAAGCAGGAAATAAAATGACTTCCTTAAAGTTGGCTGGCGTTTTTGCTTATGAAGCAGCATTTTCTTTATCAGGGAGTGTTCTTTTCCAGTGGGATGTATTTTCCTCATTTAATGGTAGCAGTCATCATTGTTAGTAAACTTCTCCACAGAGCTAGAAATAGAGGAGCTTCAGCTTCTGTATTTTTCAGTTCTCAGTGGTTGTCTGTGAAAGCGTGGCTTGACAATTTGTATTCAGCTATTCACATGTCCATTCAGAGAATATTAATCAGTACTGAATTAAAAGAGGCCTAGAAAAAAAAACTCGGCTGCTCTGATTCAAGCTGCCGATGCCTGCAGCAGGAGTTGCTGAAGAACTCTTGCCCCTTTTTTATGTAGCAGAGATCAAAATCTGTCCAGCGACATCTTTTTAGGGTTTTAAGTTTCAAAATAATCTACTCTTTTTCCAATTGTATCTGCATATTTTCAGCCAGTCTTTGGGCCAGTAGAGTTTGTATTTATTTCCTCCTGCCAAAAAGAAAATATAAATAAACTAGACATGGGTTTTTACGATGTAAAAACAAGTGTGCATTGACATGTAGCATTTCATTGCAGCATGGCTTTACCTGCAGCATTGGACTTGCAGAATGAGCTTTGACCAGGATCAAATATGTTTTCTAAACCAGCTTGTGCCTGTTACGTCAGCAGGTGTTTGTAATTAAGGTAATTGTGTGACAATATGAAGTTTGAAGGGATTTTTGTTAAAGTTGCAGTAGCTGGATTTGAACCCTGATCTCCCACATGAAAGCCCAGAGTGCTCATCATGAGACTATAGGAGAGGAGATGTGGCAGAGGATAATCCCAGGGATTGGATTGTATATATACAGAAAACGTTTACCTTGCCAATGCAATTATTGACAAGTGCAATATATTACAGCAATAGGACAACATAAAGACAGTATTACAGTAAAACATTAAAATACAATCATATTAATATTGTAATCACTGAAGTACTGAGTTTAAATATTATAAAACTATGGTGCAGTACCATATTGTGTAGAGGCAGCAGGGGGCAGTATTGGACCAATACAAGGCTCTATTGATTGCCATTATAATTTATTAAACATTAATATTTCAAAAACTACAAGTTGTACAGGTACCAAAAGGCATAGCAATCATTTGGCACTGGACCTTCACAGATATAAATTACAATGGCAGCCTCTAGGACAAAGTTTGCAGGAGGAGAAGCATGGCAAAGTTGAGATGACTTGGATGGGAAACGAATCACAATATTGCCAATGCAATGTACACTGATAAAATAAAATAAAATAAAATAAAACACCTATTTGTAACATTTATTCATAATACACCTATTTCTTTGTTCTAACCATACTAATTCTTAAAGATGCAAAATACCGCTGCTCCACTCAGGTGTATGTCATCTGTGATGGATYAAATGCAGAGCATAAAATTTTGTCACTGCATGGGAGAATGCAARTTAATTAATTAAATCATTAATCAAYATTCACCTGCTARCTGGACATTTCACTCAGCAGCCTAATTGTTACAGGGTTTTTGTACAAAAACTTCCTGTTCATGCCTGAAAGATGTCTGTATACACGAGTGTTTTTTCAATGTTGATTGTGGGCACACTGACAGAAGTGAGGTTGCCATTCACCGGCGCCACCGAGCCCTCTGACCACCACCAACAGGCAAGGCAGGAGACGTGTCTTGCCCAAGAACACAACAGCTGAGGTTGACGGAGYAGGGGTTTGAACCAGTGACCCACTGGTTACAGGACAAACCCCTGCTTCCTGTCACCAGGGACGAGTTTGGTTTGCTCCGACATGTTGAATAATTAGCACTCTGCTATCCACCATTGTTCCTGTTCATAAACTCACATAGATACAACTATTGACTGCAGCTATTTGTAGAACACATGCACACTTCCACACCTCTGCTAATAAAACCCTCCACTCTGAAACCTGAATTTAAAACGCTTTGAGAAAACAGGCACTGTTGTTGTGTACACAAACAGCTGAACTGCAGCAGGAATTTTTAATTTCAGTCGTTTTTAATAAAACTGGTTTAGTCCTTCTTGTATTTTGTGAAATATCTTTGTTGATTCAGGTTTTTATTTCAGTATTTCAAAAGCATTTTTTTAATTCAAACAAAGTCCTCAGAGCCTAGAGTGAACCTCAGCAGGACGAGGCTTTATGCATTGTGGGGAAAACAAGGCTGTCCACTGAGGTTGTGGTCATTGTGCCCCAAATTTCCTGTAAATTCCTTCAGGCTTCTGTAAAAATAGTTTTATAGAGAAATATCTGTGAGCTCAGGAGGAACATGGGCTTTGTTCTGTCGGGACATTTTCACCTCTGCTGTGGAGTCCTGATTGTTTCATTTGATTCCCCTCAAGGCTGTCTGACATTTTCTGATCGTCATTTTTTTTATCCATGCAGGAAACGTGTATTCAATACAGAATACGTGTTTGCTATTTTAGTTCTTATTAGAAACATTACACTCCCTTCTTTGTTTTTTAAAGACTTTTATTTGATGAAATAAGTTATTCCTGTTATTCTTAGCACTTCATGTTTTTAGATTTATCAGAATAAATCAACTTGTTTGTACAAATATAAGTTTTATTGCATCTATTTTGACTTCAAGCTGCTGTAATGAAAAAAAATAAATTTCAGCTTTACGTGTAAGATCATTTAAATTCTTCCTTTTAATTATTGTTTAAGCTAGCAATAATCATTTGTACATTGCTACTCACAAGTCCTGCATTTAACGGACATTTTATTTGACCATCATTTGACCTATCATAATATCACATCAGATGGTCGTGTTATTTCCGGTCTTAGGTTGAGTTGTTACAGTTGTAATAGTCTGTGTGACGACAGCACTGTGAATTAGCAAAATAATCACCTAATTTTAAAAAAACAGACAGTGACGTTTTGAAGCGCTCGTCTTTAAAATAAAGTCAACTTCATGTCCAAGTCTCAAGTGTTCACAGAAAAGTCTTGTAAGAAATGAAGAAAAGGAGAGCAGGGTTTTTTTTTTGTACGTTTATATCAGAATCTGTATCAAACGCTGAAATAAAAGTCGACAAATTAACTAAATCAGATATTTTAGTCATTTCTTGTTCTATCTTTTTTTTATTAGACTTGGTTAAATTTCTTACGTTGCTGTGGTTTTTCAGTCTGCTGTTTCCACAAAAGGAACAAATATTTCATGAGAACTTGGCATTTCACTGCTGGGATTTTTCACCTTATCTCATTTCTTACATCCTCTGACCTTTATATAAAGAATGATGCACCGACGCCTGGAAACATGCGTCTGAACAGAAATGCTGCATTCTCAGTCTAAGAAAATCTAATAGACAAAACCCAAACCATACAAGGATGAAAACAGCTCTTTAGTTTATTCTGATATTTTTGGTTACTTCCATCATTGAGGCTTMTTTCCTGAAATCTACAATAAATGTTAGTGTCTTTAACCAATCACCATCAAATACCATCAAGACAATTTCACTGGAACCATTTCTGATGAACCGTGTCACCCTTAGGAATCCTAAAAGAGTCTCCTTGGCATCCAAAGTACACGATGAAGGCATGTTTGTAACCCAAAAAGGACTGGACTGACTGGTTATACTAGTTAGTATAAACTCAACAGACAAGCACTTCCGCATGGTGCTTACTAATTGTTGCTGCTGTGTGGGGGGAGCGCTCTGTGGGGCGGGAGCTCAGCTGGGGACTGAGCTCCGGGGAGGAGCTTTGGGTAGGTGGAGCTTCGCATGAGCATGTGTGCAAGTGTTCAGGGCAGGTCCACTGGAGATTCAAGGATTTCTCAAACATGTATGGACGAGTCAAAGCAACACCTTGGGAATGACATCATAACACGAGGCTCAAAAACTCAGTTTTGCATAATACCCCCCCTCCCTTAAAAACTGAGCGGACATGATAAAAAGCATATGTTGTTTGACATTTAAAAGGTCCATCAATCACAATATTATCAATAAAACTATCACATTCCTATCTTGCAAAATTCTTATAAAATAGTGAAGTTGGACTCATTAAAAGCATGAGTTCTGATAATGCAGTGTTTAAAGCTGTTTGTCCTGAGGGTGCTGTAGGTGGACACTTCTGTTCCACTTTTTGTATTTTTCTCCACCCATTTCCCTTTCAACTCTGACTGGTTTCCCAGTCCATGCAGCTGAAAACCGTCCCACAGCATGAGGCTGCCACCACCGTGCTTCACTGTGGGCATCCCCAGCACAATGAGAGATGATTGACATTGTTTTTGAGGACCCAAAAGGTTTTTAGTCTTATTTGACCACAGCACCATCTTCTAGACATTTGAGTCTCTCATCTGTGTTTTATCAAACCCACCTTAGTTTTTACTTTATAATGATTTCTTGTCTGCTCTTCCATGAAGTCCACAACTTTGTCTTTGACGTGTAGAGAGTTTATTGGTCTTCATGCTGTCTCTTGCTTGATGGTAGTGCTTTGGTGTGGGTTCTGAGGCCTGTCAGTACATGTGTTTAGTATACAGAGGTAACAGAGTACTTTGTCCATAAGTACATGTTATTTAATTAGTGTAGCTTCTGAAGGTCATCAGGCCTGAAAAACAAAGAGTGAAAACATGCTGTRTGCACACAACATTTTAGTTTTATACATTTTACGGTTGTCACATGCTGGCAGTGACAAAGGGATGATAATGTTTTTTTCTGTGTGTTTGTTAAATATCTCATGAACCCTTGGCTTTTAATTAAACTATTATTTTTTGGAAACAATCAAAGATGGCAGCCTTAGCCAGCACAAAAACATTTATTTATTTTTGTCATATTTAAAGATATTGAGCTAAAATTGAGTTTGGTAGTAGCTGAGAGTTATCTCAAACACATACTCCTGATTCTCATAGCTTGCAGAAGTTAATTCAATGTTGTGCCAATTTCTGCACAGTTATTTTTAATATTTGACCAATATAATCTTAACATTGGATTTTCCTAATTTAAAACTTTGACATGAAAGGAGGCAGGTGATTCCTTTAAGGAAATCTAGGCCTTCAATTTAAAACAATGTTTTAACTTTTTGAATCTGGTGTTTTCTGTGTAGGTCAGGCAACAAAAAGTTCCAGTGGGGTGAAGACGTTTGCAGCTAACCGTATTGCTGTGTCTCATGTTAATATTAGCTGCCAGCTTCGCTGTGTGAGCTGCAGCAGAGCCACTTAATCTTTGCAGAAAAGAAAAAGAACCAAAGTGTGAGCTGGTTTTCAATCAACCTGTTTAGAAAGTGTAGCACTTCTTGTTTTGGCCAGAGTTACTCCTYCTACTCCTCTCCTCCTCATCACAGCACTTTATTCATCTTCTCTGCTGCTTTAAGTCCACATATTTGTCTCTCTCATGTCTTATTTGTAACAAAGTGTCACAGTGAACAGATGAGGTGTTTTTACTTTTGTAGGTCATAGGGAAAAGTAATTTATTGAAACCCTGCAGAATAATGGAGCCAGCTCTGAGGAGCATTAGTTATTGTGCCACGTCGCCATGCTAATCCACCAATGTAATATCCTCATGTCCCTCTTATTAAATCACTGTCCAAATGTGGGAGGGACTGCAGACATGGTGGATGGTGACACTCTGTCAACAGAGTCCATTAGACACGTCACACAGGCTGTTAAAATATGCTAATAAATGCTAAATCACCTATTCAAATTACAAATACCTTTCATGAAAAGATCGGGTTAATATTTTAGCAGCATCATATAAAATATATTTTTAGCTTATTTATTGACATTTTACACAACATTGCAATCTTTAAAAAATTGGGGTTTAAATTTTGACTGTAGGCTGAGTACCTGAAATATATATGTGTTTTAATATACAAGTATTCTAACTAGTTTAGACATTATGATTCTGGGCTTTGTGATTTTACATTCAGAGTAATACTGTATGTTTGAGTTGACAGTTTACAGATGTGAACTACACCCCAGTGAAGTTTAATATCAGCTGTCAGGATGTGAACTCTTTAAATTGAACTGTGAAACAACTGCAGGGCTCGTCTGTCCGTGAGATCATTGTCATCTTATCTACTAAATGTCAGATTTTATTCACAGTGGAAATTAATACCCTTTCATTCCTCGAAGGACTGCGGATCATCTGCTGCCTTTCATTTCACTGACTTTTCAAATCAAATGTTTAGCTTAATGTCTGTAAAATCTGACCTTTAGTTCTTTTTTTTCTTTTTTTTTTTTGACAAGTCATTTTCCATGGTGGCCATCTTCAACTGGTTTGACTTCAAAAGATTATTTCTGAAAGTTCGTTAAAGTATATGCAGTGTTTCATATGATATTTTGCGAACAGACCAGTAGAGCTTTAAGTGTGTGTTTTGAAAGATTATCATAAATTTTAGAATAGTACCTAAAAACCTAACTAAATTAAAGCCAGTTGAATTGGGTTGGCTTTAGAACAGGAACATCAAACTCATTTTCRCTGAGGGCCACATGRGCATTRTGGTGGTCCTCAAAGGGCCAGCTGTAATTAACTTCAATGTTCTTCTGCTGTGGTGGTCCCCAAGACTCTGGAACAACTTGCCTCTTGAGAGCCGTACTGCAGAGTCTGTTCAGTCTTTTAAATCTCACTTGAAAACCCAATTTTTTTCTCTGACCTTTAATTCAAGTTCAGTTTAAGTTGCGTCAGGAATTTGTAATTGTGTCTTTTWATCTGGTTTTAGTTTGTTTACAGTTTTAATTGTATTGTGGACGGCTGTGGCAGAGTGGTCAGGGGAGTCATCCTGTATCCCCCATTCCAGCTGTCTCTGTTGTTGTGCCTTTGGGCAAGACCCTTCACCCTCCTTGCCTACTGATGGTGGTCAGAGGGTCTGGTGGTGCCGTATGGCRGTCCCGCCTCTGTTAGTGTGCCCCAGGGCAGCTGTGGCTACAATGTAGCTTATCACCACTAGTGTGTGAATGAATGATGCGTGATGCGACTGTGAGGGTCTCAAAAAGCACTAAATAAGACATTATTATTATTATTACTCTTGTTGTTGTTGTTTTGTCTGTGAAACACTTTTGTCAACACCATTGTTTTTAAATATCCTATATAAATAAAKTGATGATGATGATTGTTGCAGGTGATTGGAGGCTCGGGGCACCTGTACACCTGTTTTTTGTCCTGCCACTTCTGTCCATGCCCGGCTTTTGCTTATGCTGTACTACGCAGAAACCAAGACCTGCTGGTGAGTTCCACAAATACTGCTAAAATATTGTATGCAACTGTACACATTATGTCATGTTAAGATAGTGTTCAAGTCCCAAGGCTGGCTAGAGAAATCGTTTTGGAGCATCTTCTGTATTAGTGCTGAGGCGACCTTTAGAATAAAAATGATGGCTGGTAGAATCAAGGAAGCAGAATCATACAAAAACAAGATGAACAAAGATTTAACAATTCAAATTAAAAGCTGACAAAGGAAACTAAATCTCAAAACAAAAGGCCGACGTGGCAGCAAACACGAGGATAATCTGGAAACACCAATGAGACACTGGTCWATWCTTCAACAAGACGTGAGACACAGGATCAGTGATTACGTCGTTTTGGATGTCTTTTTCTTACCATGTGTTTATACTCATGCAGAAGATGCAGGAGATAAACCATCAGAATTCTTTCCACAGCACTCCCAATTTAGCCCAGGTTGATTACAGGGACCATGTGTGAGACGAGGGGCAGGACTGACAGGATGCAGTGAGAGTGACGGGTAWCCAGAGTTGTAAAGTAACCAAGTACAAATACCATTAGACAGTAGATTATTGCACAGGTGTGCCTTAGGCTGGCCACAATAAAAGGCCACTCTGAAATGTGCGATTTTGCTTTATTGGCWGGGTCTRAAAATCTGGTGTGACCACCATTTGCCTCACTCAGTGCTCTCTAATCAGCATCRTGATATGCCACACCTGCGAGGTAGGATGGATTATCTCTGCAAAGGAGAAGTGCCCCAAACACAGATTTAMACAAGCAGATGGAAATTGCCAGGCTGTTGAATAATGGGATGGTTGTAGTTTTCCCTTCAAATATTTATTTCAATTAAGCTTTGTTTCTTGTTTAGTAAATAATGATATGGTGGCATTTGTTGTGTGTTTATATACACTYATTGGGCCTCATGCAAGAACCGTTCGTACGCACAGATTTGCTCTTAAGTTGTGTGTACGAGTGATTTAGGAGAATTTGTGGCATTCACCGATGTTTTCGTATTCTACGATTTTTTTTCAGATACAAACAAAATTCAGGAGTGGTCCAGACCTGTCGTATATTTTACGAGCAGTCAGTCTGCTGTTATCCAGACAGGTTTTCCTCCCTAATAACTTTATRTTTCGTTAGTTTGAAGATATTTTGAGTTGAAAATAAATCACACTCCATAATTATGTTGACAATAGTCTATTCTGCTTGAATTAGAGTTATAATTTTAAATGTAATAATTTAGACTTACAATATAAATTGTCCGTTTGTCCGTTTTCCACCGCTTATCTGGGATTGGTGCGGAGGCAGTAGGAGACCCCGCTCTCCCCAGCAACACCTTCCAGCTCGTCCTGGGGGACTCCGAGACGTTCCCAGACCAGAGGGGATACATAATCCCTCCAGCGAGTCCTGGATTTTCTCCAAAGTACCAGATAAATTTTGAAAACATTTTAAAATGCTTATTTCAAACCCGCATCTGAGACCACCTGCGACCGCGCAGCGCGCGCCGGGGGTGGGGGTGGGGGGGTACGGTGCGCAGCGCTGCGGCTTCTGAAGAAATGAAAATGATTTAACACAGTTGATTATACTTTTAGCAGCTCTTTTTATTCCACAGCTGACCTGCTAAAAATGACAGATTTTCTTTTCTGGATCTCTGACAGACGGACTTCAATCTCTGAACTCGTAAAGTTTTTCTTTTTAGTTTTCGCTGTCATTTTCATGAATGGACACTTCCTTGTATCTGAAGCAGGAAACGTAGCCTTACATGGTGTTTTTGGGGTGGTAATTATGCTAATCTCCTCTCGCGTGCACGAGCAGCTGGATAGAACAGGTGGAATTTACGCAGCTCATTTACGCACTTTTCCTGAAGATAGAAGAGTTTGTTGAATCTGACGTGACATGTTGGTACGAACCCTTTGTACGAACAAAAGTAAGAGAAATTTAGGATAAGAATACGAACATGTTCTTGCATGAGGCCCATTATTTTAGAACACAGTAAAAATGAGATCATTTTAATTATGTCTTCATATCAGATGAAAGAAGGTGGACTTTCTTTTTCATATGACCTGAGAATCTTTACAGACGATCTGAAAGCACCTAATGTGAGAGCTGATCAATCCTGAGTTCTGTTAGTGGACTCTTACATGACTTAATCTTTGTTGGTCAGCAGCTCAGGATTAGGATTAAAGCACTGAAATAGAGATACAGTAGAATGATCAACCCCAGCACAGACTGTGCTAATGAGGACAGAATTAGTGCTGCTATCTTGCTCGGTGCTTCAGGGGTGTCCTTAGTTAATACAGAAGGGAAACAGACTATAAATACAAATGTAGAAGAACCACACTCAGCCAAGGAGCCCAGTGTTTCACCAGTAGTTGTAATAATCAGAAACCACACTTGAAATAATGCAKAGTTGTGTTTCATAGTTTTCTTTAAATTATGTCATATTAGTTCATAAATGATTAGTTTTTGTCTGCCCTGTCCAGTGTGCACGGTGCCGGAAAGTCATTCATATATCAGTGCTGCAGTGATAAGTTACCCTCCATTGTAAAACTTGGATAAATGTGTACCTCCCAGAAACATGAATAATTAAAATAACCTCAGATTCAACACTTTATGTACGTATATCTATACTGTATGGTTAAAACTGCATGATAAGATTGAATTAATGTGAATAAAGTTCTGCTAGTTAAAGTGGCTTTAATTAGTTTACTGTCATACATTATGCGCATTTATGTTTTTCTAAAGTTTTTGAAAACTACACAAAGAGCTATAGTGTCCCATTAAGCATAATCATTTTAATTTTTCTTTATTTTTCATTAAAAATGTTTGTCTCACCCTCTATAATAGTAGGTGTCTGCTCTAATTATTGTAAATCAGGGTGCTTACTTACCAGCAAACTGACCATTTTTTTAGTAAAATTAGCATATTGTCCTAAATCTTACGCAGTACACCAACTTTATTACATGTGGGTAAATTTTAAGTGTTAAATTAGTCAATAGAACAAACAAAAACTCAGTTATTAATGTCTAAAAACTAAAGTGCATGTTATTTAAGGTCCAATATTATCAGGTTCAGGAGGAAAATGACTTTATATAATTTCAAGTTATCAGTCTAAGTACATTAAATTACAAGCACAGGTAGCAGAGCTCTGGTTAGACTAAGTAAACATATAAAGTACCTAAGTACTYACTGGTCTGGATAAAATAAATACAACCCTTTATCATGATGACGGTAGCGAGTTGGGTCAATATTTTTCCTACATTTTGCTTGACTTGACGTGATGGGAGGCTCCTACAGCATATATGTCTCCTCTTCTCATAACTTGTACAATATGTTTATTTAAGTCAGTGGCTGGCAATGTATATTACACTTRGGCCTTCAGTCTGCCCTGCCTGAATAATACACAGATACACGGAGTAATATGGTGCCTCACCACAGACGGGCATTACTGAAGATACACAATTAACACAATTCAACAAGTTTCCTTCAACTGCAGCCACAGGTTTCATAAAGAAGCATCAATAAGGACATAATAAACTGACAAAAAATATGGAAAAATATTATTTTATTCACTAATACGTTTAGTTATMTGTTCACAAACTCCACCCTCCTTTCTTTCCTCTAGAAGAATTTGTTTCCTCTGTCATACAGGTCATCATGTCGTTTCCATTTTCAGCAAGAAGTCCTTTTATTTCACCACCATGAAGCTAACGCTGAAAGTCGAGTTTGTTCTGTCGTGTTTTTGTCATAAGTTTTAGTTTGCTGTAATGTAATTACCGCTTCGCAGTAATACAAGTAGCACCTAACAAGATGGCTGCCACAACTCTTGCCTGTCCATCMGTGTTTACGTCAATAAAATTAATTTACCAGACCACCTTCACCCTTCTGGTTAGAATAACCAAATAATGGATCTTTTCCCTAAATAAAGGAACAGTTAAAATATTTTTAATGGGTAATTTGGTTATGATTAATCACTTTTATCTTTGTGAAAATCAATCATGCTTTAACGTTGTTTTAAACAGAATTATAAAAAGCAGTTTAACTAAACATCACTCTGTACCACATATTTTATATTACAGCTTTATTTACTGACAGGCAGAAAGTTTGTTCCGCAGCCATTATGTTTTTTCAGCCAAGCGTGAATCCCAGAGAAAACCTTTGTCCTGCCAACTGTGACAAAACACACATTTGAGTGTGTGTACAGATGTGTGGTGGTTATGATGTGTTTCTGTCTGCTCACTGATGGGCGTCTCCCCTCCAGTCTCTCTTTGTATATCTTGAAACAACCTCAGCTCTTGTATTTTTTTTTCTAAGTATCGAAGAGATAACTATGTCTCCCCTGGGGGRTGCGGCTAAAACCAGTGTGAGAAATGAACAACTGCATTCGACCGTGGAGACTCCCCAGGAGCACATCAGTACCATTCCCCATGAAAACGTGCAGAAAAACCTACAAGAATCTCTTCGTTGTGAGACAGCTCAGCCGCTTCTGGAGTTTCTTGGATGTGGGGATAGTGAATCCGTTTGTAACATTACTCTGATTGAAAAGTTAAAACCGAACAGCCCTCATGGGAGTCCATGCGGGACTCTGCCCAGCTGCAGCCTCTTGTTTCCATTCAGRGCTCTGCAGTTTTGGCCCGGAGCACCGGGTCCATTTTGTTCTGAGAAGTGGGTCAGGCGGCCGAGAACTGAGCTATCACGCTAATAGCCATGGTATCAGCAGAAGTTATAAAAATAACTCACTTTCTCCTCGTGAGTTTTTATGTTTTTTTAAATGTAAAACACAGAGTGGAGGAGGACTCAGGTTTGATGCCTGCAGTAAGAGGAAGTTGCTGTTTCTCTCCCAACCATCAGGCTCCTGATGTTCCATCCATCTGAAAATTATTAAACACTCATAACCCCTGTCTTCATACGCTCCATTGATTTACATAAACGGTTAGAAAAATGATTGATATGGAAAACTGCTCAGGCATTTGCTCCGTGACTAATACTCTCGGAGAGGAGATTTCTCAGTGGAATATCACTAACAGGTCAGAGCCGAGGCCCCCCACCCCCCACCCCGTGTCTGATGAGCTCTTACTGGGCTGTCATAACGGCTTCATATCCGTGGCATTAATCATTGTGTTTCCAGTGTCTCTGTGATGAATCTGCTCTCTTTTCTTCCAGTGCAAACACATCCTGGCTGTCTACCTGAGCCAGGCCATGGCTGTGACTGAACAGGAGAGCGTGTCGGATCAGCAGATGTCCACGCTGCTCAGCAGGACCGGGACTCTGTAAGGGCAGGTGGACCAGGACGAAAGCTGGGGTTTGGTTCACTGCAGAAAAGACCAGAACACGGGAGAGCCGACAGACTACAGATGCTGCTTTCTGTTCTGTTCATCTTGAGGAATTACAGTTGTATTTTTAGTTTATTATTTTTTTTTAAAGAGCATCTGCATAGTGATGTCATGACAGAAACATTTCAGAGTTTTCCTCTATATTTTGTCATTACTCGAATTATTAATAAAAAAAAGACCTTAACCAATATAAACGTTGCTTTTATTAACAAAATAAACCACCATACATACAAATTGCATCATGTCAAATAGCTACATCAGTTGTAGTTTTGTTGAATGAAGAAAAGAATTGTCCACAGTGGAGGTTTTTTTTTTTCCTGATTAGTAACAAGACAGCACACGGACAGATGGGGAACTTTGGAATAAAAGGCAGGAATGTTGAACTTTTCTGTCATGTTTGAACTGAAAAGAGAGAGAGAGAGAGAGAGAGAGAGAGAGAGAGAGAGAGAAGGCAGTTTGACATCAAGCAACAGCTTGCAGAAAGCTTGATACCTACAGTACTTGTTCTTTTACACGAGTCAACGGAGACGATAATAGAACGTTACAGTGCAGTTACAGTATAGATGACTCCATTGGAATGTACTAAATCGTTGGCACACTCCTGTGTTTTAGCCCTTGAGGTCAGTCAGAGGCAGGACCGGCACAACAAACGCAGGGAGATGGTGACGCTGCTGAATCCAACAGGAAGTTTAAATATCAGTGCTATGCTCTGTAGTGTAGTGATGCTTTTCAGCTGACCAAAACTAAATATAAAATGTCAAAAACACGGTCAGTTCTTTCACAGGTGCTGAGCCTTATTTAAAACATMGCTAAAATATTTTGCTGATCCCACTCTACTAATTCCAGATGTGCTGTGAGATTTCAGTCTAATTTAAAATAATAATGCCACACTATGAGTTACAGTTTAATTTAAAACASTTCCCAGCATTGTCTGCTTTGCAGTTTTTCCTTTTTCCTGGACCATTTTTTTAAGAACACACAAGATTGTTGAGCTCAGTTAAAGTAGTTCATCATAAATACGCTTTAGTGCAACATATTTATCATTTTTGGCTTATTGGGGTTTTAGACTGACTGCCGGGGTGAGCTGGACTCCTAAAGCAGGTGAGCCTCATTAACACCCCAACAACTGAAAGCAAAAGCAGCTGCGAACTGCGCACCGCAGCGCAGCGGAGCGGAGACGCATGTAGTTTAAATCYGGGGTAAGTCACTAAAGCTGCATCCACGCTCTGTAAATAACACGTGTTTAAAGTGTCACCTGACATCCTGTCATCGACTGGCTCATTGTGATGCAGCTGAAAACACAAATTTATTTTCCTGAGCTTTTCATTCTTTTTCCTTTAAAAAAATCTTTAAGATCAAGACCTTATTTTCAAAGGGGACCTTTGTCATATAAGGATAATTCAGTCATAAAAAAACTTCCTGTGGAAAGTTAGAAACCATCATCGTCTTCTTGATAAACAGAGTTTCCATCAGACAGGACTCAGGAGCTAACGGCTAGCGTCAACAAAGCGAAAGACCAAAGTAAATGTCTTAAATCCAAGCTCCAAAATTTTGCAGACGTTCATCCCAATGCTGAATTTGCATTGAATGATTATTCTCATGGAGGTTTATGGTTGTTTGAAATAGAAGAAGCATTTTTAAGGCCTCTAGCAGGAATTTAATCACGTTTCTGCTAATATAACAGTAATGTTAATRGTGTTGGAGGCAGCTGTGGAGCAGTGGTGGCTGAAGGTCACAAGTTCAATCCCCCACAATGCCTGCATGAGCAAGACATAATTCCTTACCACTTCAATAGCTGCCTAATGCTCCACTCAGGTGTGTCTCACATATTAAAGGTTAAATGCATGGCACAAATATTATAGTATGGGAACATGCAATGATGACATCTAAAGTACKTTAACACAAACTGCTATGAAATGTTGAGGATTTGCTGCAAAATCTGCCTTGGGGGTCGATCCGTTGGGACCAGGGTTGGGCAAAATCATATCGTTTGCAATTAATCGTCAGAAAAACCGGTCACTGATCAATACTTGCCACTAGGGTTTGGCGATATGGGCAAAAAAATCATGTTTAATTGGGGTATTTAGCCAGTAACGATTAATATGATGCTTAATCCCCTGGAGTCCCTGGACGCCTGCATATCCTAGTCACAGGACCAATTTAAATCACTCGAGTAAGAAAGATTAGCTCTCCGTAAAAATCTGTTCTAAATTCTGTCATTGTGAAGCACAGACTTCAGGCTTTACATCAGTTTTTAAGTTGTGTTGACAGGCCAAGTAAAACCGGAGTTATGATAAATAAATTACAGAACTTATTTTTTAAATGTTTGTTAAATTTGAAGTGGAGAGGAGCACCGAGCGGACTGACAGGGGAAATCTCCAGTTACTCTGTCTGGCGGCATTAATCGTATTAATCATCAAGATCAAAGTTTTTCTGACGATTACTGTAATTGCACACAATACGATTTTGCCCAACTCCCCTTGCAGCTTTACRACTGTGATTCGTGCCACGTTATGGTAGTGCACTTCTGTGTGCAAGACATCAAGCACGCATGTGAGCCCAAACCATAAGAACAATGGCAGAAGACGGCGTGGAACAGCTAACCGTAACATTACGAACTTGTTTAATCACCTGAAACACAACAACAAACCAGAATACAAGGAAAGCCAGAATCTGCTACAACAAACACACCTCCAGAAGTGGAAACAAATCTACTCAGCTGAGAATCCACGATGCTCAGTCAGTCTGTCCCTTACAAAGCAAAGTCAGCACTGGAAGGAGATATTACGGGGTGGGCTGTGGCATATTGCATTACTAAAGATATGCTGTCACAACGTTGTGGAAAAGCTGGGTTTCAATTCACAGCTTATTATTTTAACCTGTTAGCTTCACCGATTCAGAGTCAAAAACATGCAAGTGCAATTGTCATCTTCTAATCATTGTTGGCTAAATGACACAATTAACCCYGATTAATTTCTTGTACTTGGATGGGAAACCAGAGTTGCGCCCACATTGGAACACGAACAACAGAACTTTTGACCATCATAGGCCGTCTTCTACGAAGGATGATCAAAAAAATAAATAAAACTTCGACTAGCCATTATTAATTCATCCTTACTGTTCMAATGAACCTGCTACTAAAGCAGAATTTGCAGTTGATGTCTAGCTGTCAACTCAGCAATCCTGCAGCATGTAAACTCTGTTTCTGTTGTTCAAAATGTTTTTCAGAACAGGTAAAATGTAAATTATTTGTAACCTTGAAGAAATCCATTTCAAAATGGCTAACTATCCCTTTAAGGTAAAGGCATGATTCATGGCTGCAGGTGAGTTTTGAGCTTTTTTTTTCCCCTCTGAGGCTGAATCTAATCATGATGTTTGTGTCAGAGCCACAGAACCACTTTCTGTAGAAGAAAACAGTGGCGGGCTCACAATGGGTTTGTGACCCCTGCAGTCATAAAATGATACACGGGGAAGGAAATGTTTTGTTTTTTCTATATTTTTCTAAGTACTTCTAATAAAAATGCTGTTTCTTAGCTCTGTGCATACATTCTTCCTGCCATATCTTATCCTACAGTCACTGGCACTTAGTAAAAGGAACAATTTGATTTAAAAAAATTTTTTTTTTTTACTTTCTGTGATATGTAAAGTTTCATTCTTCCATCTTTATATCATCCTAATTAAGCCACATAAATAAATACATAAGTATTGTCCGTCTCTGTATACAGAGGCAGTGATGGGTTTAAATTAATTTTAAAGGTTTACGAGCCAAAATAAAAATAATCACAGATGAAGAAACCTACTGTACCTTTTTAAACTCTACAAGTACAGATCTATTCACAAATAGCTATTTTGATCATTACATTCTCAAAAACAAGGTCTTGTAATAAAATAATTATTTAACACTGGCACTGAATGTCGACAATGTACACCAACAGGGCAGAAAAGAGTAGTGTTTGTAACAAAGTCGTTTCAGTTTGGATCCTCTTCACAGTCCTACAAATCCAGTTAGCTTCAACTCTTTTTAAATTAAACGCTTCACAACCCAAAGGTTTCATAAGACTTGCTGTTGAACACTGATCCCCACCTTCAACTCTCGTCACGATTTATAAATAAATCTCCACATTCAAGGCGTGATTGACATCTTCACATATCATCATACCCTTGTTCTGTAAACATTAAAAACCTCAGTAAAAAGGAAAGTCCAGACTCAACAGCTGACCCAGATCCCAGTCCCCCCGCGGCATGACTATAGCAGCGGGTCGACGGTCATGTGGATCTGRTCTCTGTGGCGTCTGCTGCCGTTGGAGCTGAGGTAAAGCTCCTCTTTGCGGCAGAGAAAGTGCTGGGCCAGGATCTTACGGAAGGTGTTCCTGAAGTCCTGGATGCGGTACGCGTAAATGATGGGGTTRATCGCAGAGTTGGCGTGGGACAGGATGATGGCCATGTACATGACCCCCTCCGGCTTCTTCAGGTCCTTGTAGAACAGCCCCAGGCAGTTGAGGATGTGGACGGGCAGCCAGCAGACGGCGAACAGTCCCACGATGATGGAGAGGGATTTGGCAGCTCGGATCTCCTTCTGCAGCAACCCCTGGTTTGGGCTGTCCCTGTTGCCCACACATTTGAGCTCAATCTGTCTCAGCTGCTTCCTGGCCACGGTGAAGATCTTCRCGTAGATGCCCAGCATTATGAGCAGCGGCAGCAGCACGCACACAAAGAAGTTGAAGTAGACCATGTACTGCATGTCCACCACGCTCTCAAACTGACAGTTGAGCTTGCAGCTCTGGGGTWCGCTGCCTCTGTGTTTGTAGTCTGTAGTGTTGCTGCAACTCAAGTACTTTGAGTTCCATCCAAAGAAGGGAATAAGGCCGATAACAAAAGAAAGGATCCATAAAATTGCTATGATTTCTCTGGCAGTCTTCCCCGTCATCAACTCCTTGTACCTGGAAGAAAAAAAAACAGATGTTACTGCCATACTCATGTTTGCACAGGTCAAAGGTCACCATGGTCTCAAAACCCCATTTTTTTATTCCAGAGTTCATCTCGACAGTAACATCCTGTCTCTGATCAGCATTCAAAAGAGCAGCAGAAAGATGGTCACTATAACTCTTATTTTGTCAGATACAGAACTGTTCACACTGAAGTTCAGAACCCGCAGTGAAGCTGAGATTAAAGATGTGTCTGAACACGTGGGACCCGAACCAACGTTTTTAAGTCCTCAGCACAATTTAGGGGAAGGGGGGGAGGAATCCACTCTGTCAAGAAAACTTTTCATCAAATGTTTCATTTGTAAAAACACAACAAAAGTGAATGGCCGCTGCTTTTCTTTCGCTCACTCATGCACACACAAACATTTAAACACGTTTAAAGCCAGGAATGCACAGAATGATCAGCTGCTACAAACAGTCTCTTCTTCCTCTGTAAAAAGCTACAAATCTGTGTTGACAACACTCACATGTTGTCACACACATACTCTGACTGTGCATTTTTTAACTACAACTTTTTTCAAATTTAAAGGGCCTGTGACATCAAATTTTTGTAATAAATGTGAATGCGTTTTTGGAAAGAGGACATTGCTAACATATTGCAAAACAAATTTAACGCCGTTGAGATGAACAATTGTTGAGATATTTGCATGTGAAGAAACAGGAAGTGATGTCAAAGGGGAATGTCTGCATGTAAACAGAGCGATGCTGCAAAATTTTGAGAAGAATCTGATGTTTCTTTAGATTATTTTGAGTCAGTTGAAGAAGAGTTTAAATAAGATTGTTTCAATCTTTTCTTAAAGAGTTCCCTTTTGATGTCACTTCCTGTTTCACTTTGCTGAGCCAAATTCAAGAGAAAATATGCCAGTTATGAGACAAAAATGTGTAAAATCATGTGTATTGTGCTATTTTTTAATATAAATACGTTTTCTTTGACTTTTTGTATTTGAAGGATATGCATGTCACAGGCCCTTTAAGGTTTTAGAAAACAGGATATAATAAGATGAATCACCTGGCTGTACATTAAGAGAAATACACAGTCAGACAAACAACAATGTTCAAAAATAATACACAATGTTACAGTTTAATTAGCAAAGTCAAACCAATGTAGAACAATGTGTAAACTAAATACATCCTTGCTGCTTTGTGTAAAATAAGAGAAAAATCTCAACCTAAATTTTTTTTAATTCCCAAATTTTGAGAGTTTAAAGAGTTGTCTCTTTTTGGTAAGCTTAGTCAAATGATTTAAGCTTTCACTAAACTCCAACAAGATGTGAGTCGACTGTTCTGTCATCATGTACTTTGAGACGGTGTTTTCTCACGGAGTGTTCACCGTCAAGGAGAAACCGTGGGGGGAGAAATCCTTATAAGTCCTCCCACTGCAGCACATGTAGGGGGGCACAAACAGAATCAGCGAGGTTGTCAGACTAGATGTTTATTTTCAGTCGATGGAGGAGATGGAGGAGGAAGATCTGGCATTTCTCTTCGAGGAGAAGCGCTACTTTGTAAATTTGTCAGAAAGAGACCATCATCATTTATGACAGATGGTGCGGCAGCAGGAATGTGCCTTTACTCTGTCCAGCCGAGGCGTACTCCCACCCGGTCAGCACAATCATGGAGCTGGTGGTTGTCTGTGATGTTTCCTGTGTTCACAAAATCCACAAAATTCGACCATCTTTCTGAATTTTATTCAGCAGCTCCTCTGCAGCACTTGAAGGGGTAATTCAGTCACTGAATCAGATGTGTTGGAGCAGTAAAACAAGTGAAATATGAAGGATAGCAGCCCCTGAGGACCAGGACTGGACACACCTGTGTTGCTGTCCTCAGTTCAGACTACACATGGGCCGGATACTGGTTTCAAGGTATACCGTGATATGAAAATGTCACTAAAATTTTCTGTCATACCGTTCCAAGTGTTTTGTTTCTTTTTCCTCCGGTCTGTGCAGCTGCAGACTTTCCCCCGTGCATCCCTGCAGAGCTGCCTGTTGTCACTCGCAGCTCTGTGGAGGTTGTGTGATGGTGGCTAAAGTAGAGAGTTCCCCAAACCTTTTCCCCGTTTAAAATACTTAAGATGCCGTAAAGACGACAGCAATGTGGACCGTGGAGGCAACACGTCTAACATGATCGCAGCTCCAGGTAAAGTTTATGTTATCTTTGAACGAGCTAACTTTAGCATCAGATTGTGAAACATCACCGTGTTGCTGTGGCTTAATGCGCTAATCACAACTTGTTTGCGAAACTGTTTGAGTTGTTGGATTGTGTATTTGATAGGTTTTAAGTGAAAGGCGATAAAAYTGAATGCCTCCTTTAGACGAGCAGCTCGTTAGCTAAATGTGCGTTTCATAAACACGCATTCATAGTTGTGATTTCTGTAGTTTGTGTGCATATAATTATATAATCTTTACATCAAACACCCATTTGTCATTTAAAACACAATAAAAACTCCCAACATGAGAATTTACTTTAATAAAAGGACTAGTCGTGCATTATACGCTAATTTGTTTTAACTAATAAAGCAGTAGAAAAACAGTTATCCTATTAGATGTAAACTATACCAAGATAAGTTATTTGCATTAGGTGTTAAAAATCACAAGTATAAATGCACACAGGTAAATAAAATTTCAGCATAACACCTCTGAGATAAAAAAAAAACAGCTTCCAAAAATAATTAAAGTTGAATATGATAATAGAAAAGATGTTTTCCTTTTTTTAATACAAAATTCAAAACAAACTTTTTAGAGCTGTAATCATGACACCGTCATACCGCAAAACTGTGATATTTTTGCCCAAGGTACTGTCATAATTTCATGTCGTCCCATGCCTAGTTCAGACTCATGTTGCGTACAGGCTAAATCCTCTGATATGATCTACTATAAAGAAAGTCCATCAGTATTTAAATGTTCTCTGGTGTCTCTGGGTTCAGAGGAGTTTTTAAATTAAACAAAGATTCTCCCAGCTGATAAGCATCTTAAAAAAAATCTCCTTCCTTCAAAACCATATTTGCTGTGTTGATGTTTATTGGTGTGTCCACACAAATACTTCCTGTTTAGGTGTTTTCCCATGGAGTTTAGTCCACATTTATGCCCACAGTAGTCGATGGTTTCACCTAATCTGCTCTTTCTGTTCTTGGCAGTTCTACTTGAAAATAAATGTCTTCCTTCAACCAAATCCTAAAATCCTAAGATAAATCGCAACCAGTTGCTGCTTATTGAGCTTTTGCACCTCCGAAAGGCAGGAGTTTTGTCGGCTTGCTGCTCTGCATCGTTCAGGTGTGTGTGTTACCACAAAGAGGAAAGACATCAGCAACAACCTGAGAGAAGCAGCTGTTTCTGCCCATCAATCTGAGAAGGGTTAAAGGTCAGTTTGGAGTCCATCGCTCTACAGTTAGAAAGGTTCACAAAACATTCAGGACAGCCGACACTTTGTAAGAGTAAATGTCAGCAATGAACTTTAAAGTACCTGTGACATGCATATTCTGCAAATACAAAAAGTCAAAGAAAACATATTTACATTTAAAAAAGTTTGAATAATATGCATAATTTAACCCATTTTGTCCCATAACTGGCTTATTTTTTTTAAACTTGGCTCAGCCAAAGTGAAACAGGAAGTGACATCAGAGGGGAACTCTTTAACAAAGAAAACTCTCTGGTCTTTGTTTATTGAAACACTATTATTTGAACTCTGACTCTTCTCTCTGATAAAGACTCAAAATAATCTAAAGAAACATCAGATTCTTCTCTACAGTCTGGGTTGTTAGTCATTGTAGCAAAGCTCTGTTCACATGCAGACATTCCCCTTTGACATCACTTCCTGTTACTTCACAGGCAAATTTCTCAACAACCGTTCATCTCAGCAACATGAAATTTCTTTTGCAATATTTCATCAATGACCTCTTTCTAAAAATGCATTCATATGCATTACTAAAATTTGACATCACGGGCACTTTAAATGTTCAAATTCAAAACACGAACAGATGTCAACCTCAGACTCTGCAAACCTCAGTTCAGTGTTCCAGATCATAACAGGACAAGAACAAAAACAAACAATTTTTCTGTTGTTGAATCAAACTGAACTGTACGTCGATTTTTAACAAAAACTCAACGCACAGCAGCAAGTTTTTCAAAAGCCAAACAAGARTCAGGAATCTTTAGTGTCATAATGCATTAGCAAAATTTTGTTTGGTGTTCTCAGCTCATTACAAMAAGAAACAAAAAGTCTAAACAATGTTTGGAATAGCCTCATACCAACTATCAAACACAGGARGAGGGTTGATGATTTTGTCTTGTTTTGCAGCAGGAGCAGCGTTCACACTGCAGGTGAATGCCACACAAATCCCTTTTCTATGTGTGACCCTTATCAGATTTTTTCCTGACAGTCTGAAAGTGACAAATCAGATTTTTTTTTAATTCRACTTGGGTCTTTTCATTATGTGGCACTAAATCAAATACATATCTGATGTTTTTCAAAGCAACTGCATTCTGAATTATCATGGGGATATACGGATCGATCCCAGTAATAATAAGGACTCTAAGCTTGCAAAGAGTTTTTTTTTTGGTTGAAATTGTAGGAATGACCTAATGTTCTTATCTGCATTTTGACCTTAATTTTGTTCAGTTTGATTAAGTGTATCAGAGTATTTTATATCCTGACAAATAAAACCTTAAAACCGAAAGGGGCTCTCCTTTTTTGCATTACTTTCATGCATAATCATAAACATATACATAAAAATAAAAACGCTCTCAGGCCACAGAGGTACATCCTATCCTGTTTTATAAAACCAGAGCATTATTGTTTCTGTATTACTATGGAAATGAAGGAGGGGCTTATAGAAAAAGCTATATAGAAAGGCTATAAATGACTTGCTGGAGCCACATCAAATGTTGTTTTCCATTTGATTTTCATTCTCCACACAATTACAATCTGACTGAAGCATCAACCCTCATGCTTAGSTTCCTCCT